TTCCTCAGCCTGGCCAGCTACCTGAGCGACGAGAGCCTGGCCGACTACGAGTACTTCGTCAAGATGAAGTCGGCCCTCATCATCGAGCAGCGGGAGCTGGAGGACAAGATCCACCTGGGCGAGGAGCAGCTCAAGTGCCTGGTGGACAGCCTGCAGCCCGAGAGGAGCAAATGAGCGGCCTCCTGGGGGCGGAGCCGGCCTGCGCACCGCCCCGGGCAGCGGGCCCCAGCCTGGATGGAGGTCCCGTAGTGAGAACCCTCTCGTAGTGTCGTGGCTGTTAGAATATTGATAACTCGTGTTTGTCTGGGGTGATGCATTGGGCGTCTAGTTTCCCTGTGGATGCTGAGCAGAGCGGCTCCCCGTGGGGTGTTGTCTTTTACAAGGAGCCCCACGGGGCACGGGCCCTGGTGGCTGGCGAGCTTCCGCCACGGAGACCACAGGCTCTGTCCCGTGCTGCACGCGAGGGCCCCTTGGTGGCGGTCGCTCTGGCTTCCTGTGTCTTCCGCTGCCAAACCGGCCGCTTGGGCAGCACTCAGCGAGTCCCCAGAGGGCACAGGGTGGGCCACCTGGCGCACATCTTCTCTTGTGATCCACGAGGGGCGTGGCCTGCCACATTTTATGCGTGTCCGTCCCATGCTGTTAGCGTTCACTGTCTCATATAATGTGCTCTCTGACCCAGCACAAACCTGTGGTGATGATGAAGACGGTGATAATTTATTAACATAGTAGTTTCCAAGTGGTTAGGAACCAACTGTGAAGTGCATAGCCTGTGTGTTGGGTCGCTCATTCTAAAAGCGCCGCTCGAGTCGTGTGCATGCCTTCAAAGCCGCGCACCAAGCGGACAGCTTCAGTCCGCCCCACCCGGCGGCGCGGGTCAGGCGTGTTCCCGCAACGGAAACGCCTGGTAAAAGGTGTGTGCGGTAGTCCTGTGCTTGCTAGGTGTTTCCCGAGACCAGTGGATCGTTCCTAAATTCCTCCCTCCCCAGAGCATTTGTGGCGTGCCCATATGGTCACTAATGGTGATTGGCCACTTTTCTCTTTTTGCCTCTTTCAACCTGTCAGCATGCCCTGAAGGCCCATTCTGTTTCCTAAGAGCCCGCCTCCGGACTTCCGGGGGTCCCTCTGCAACTTTGCCACAGAGTTGACCGATCCCAGGCCCTTTTTATTGGTTGACATTGCAATATTCTGAAGAGTCTATTCACTTAAAAGACAAACGCTGTCATGGTGTCAATTTGCAGTTGACAAGTCAGGCTGGGAGAAATGGTCTGCAAATCACATATGTGACAAAGGAATCATCTCCAGAATATATGAAAAACTCTGTACAACTCAACCGCAAGGAAACCAACAGCCCAGCTGAAACAGGGACAAAAGATTTCACCAAAGAGGACACATGCGTGGCAAGTAAGCGTAGGAGAAAGATGGTCAACCGCCAATGGCTGGGTGGTAACTTATTTTTACCTAAATCACTGTGGAGCCGGTATGTTTCTTCTCAGATGCTCAGCTGATGCAGCGCATGCTTAATGGTGGGGAACCCCTTGGATGAGTTCATGTCAGGGTAGCGTGTACCCTTGTTGGATGGAGGGGTTATTTGAATCCTGTTTCCCCTTATTCCCTATACAAGAAGTTTTCCAGCGGGTGGGGAGACCTCTGTCATCAGTGACTGCCACCTAACCAAACCACACACCCACCAGTGTCTTAGGACCACGGTCCACCTTCCTGAGCCGGAGGCGGCGAGCCAGGCTCCCGGGCCGCGGGGAAGGGTCCGCACGGACCAGCTTCAGGCGCGCAAGCGTCACCGCTCCTTTCGGCCACTTTCCAGGCGCGTTCACTGCTGTTAGTTAAGCTGTGACGTGGGAATCCTAACACTTGCGGTGAAAAGTGGCCACGTTGGAGAAGGTCCGGCTGGCTGCTCGCGGACCCCCGTGGTCCTCCCTCGGGGGGACCACGGCCATTCCGTGTGTTTGCTTTTTAATGTAGACAAAGCTTTTACCTGTGACGCTTGCCTGTCCGATACAGTGTTGTGGCCGTTGTGATGCTATGTATGTAAATGTGAATCTAGAAAGTGTTGTGTCTGTGCCGGCCTTTTGATGTCTTTGAGGACTTCCTTCTCCGTGGGAATATGTAGTGCAATTCCCCTTTTAGCGAAGCCCCTGTGCCCACACCGTCCTGTCCAGTCCCCGCCTGCCTCTTCAATGTCTGCTTGGCGGGACCCAAAGATCCAGGAGTCCGTGTACATACCTTTGTATATAGTAACATCAGTGCAGATAATAACAGTCTGGTGCTAACGTCTGCCCTCTGCGCGGGTGGTAGCTGTTCCGGACTCTCTGGGAAGCTCAGCCGTGGAATCCCCTGAATCGCGCGACTTCAGCCAGGCCATCGCCGGCAGTTCACTGTGGAAATGTGTGCGGATTCATGCTCGAAGCTGACCACTTACCTCTCAACAGATCATCCTGCCTGACTTTGATGAAATAAAATAGTGTCTTTGAGTGCATGGAGCCTGTCTTTGATTTACCTATTTTATCACAACTTTTGTTTTCATTCTTTGCAAATCCTCTCCCGGAGATATTTTTTCCATTGATTTGTGGAGAGAGTGGAAGCGGGGGAGGGAGAGAGAGAAACATCGATGTAAGAGAGACACATCGATTGGTTGCACCGACTAACGGGGACCGGGAATTGAGCCTGCAACCCAGGTATGTGCCCTGGGTGAGGAATCGAATTCATGACCCTTCGGTGCTCAGGCCGATACTGTAACCACTGAGAAACTGATCACGTGCCCTGACCGGGAATCGAACCTTAACTTCCTGGCTCCTAGGTCCACGCTCAACCACTGAGCCACATGTTTTTGAAACCTGCTCTTCACTTAACATTGGGAACTTCCCCCCCAATTATTCTTCAGCATAAGGTTGGATTTCTGGGTAATAGTCCACGGTAAGGTCACAACGGTTTACTGGCTATGTTCTCTACATGGGTTATAGGATGCTTTCACTTGTCCCGTGGTACCTCAGGTATGAAGTCCATTTGGTGTGTTCCTGTGCGTGTCCTTGCACATCCCCACTTGCTGGAATAAGTTCCTTCTCACAGGAACTGAGCAGAGGTTCCTGCGGAACTTGACTCCCACATAAACTTTGGTCCTAAGTGTGGGCCGCACCCCCCCGCCCCCGCCCCCGATTCCCATTGGCCTTTTGGCAGCCTCATTCCTCACAGCACCCACATCTGACAAGCTTCCCCTTAGCCGGCCAGCTTCTCCCAGTCAGTGGAGACCTTCACCTTCTCCTCCGTCTCGCTCCTGGGCGCCACGTTCACGATGCTGTCACCCGAGGGGCAGCGGGAAGGTCATTGCCAAAGCTCCAGGGTCATAACTAACGTGCTGGCTATCACTGGGTTTTGATAGCAACCTCGTCCGTGCGGGGCCACTGCTGCTGACGCCTGCTCGGATGTGTTGTCATTGCTGTTTGTTTATTGAAATCCTCACCGGAGGAGCCTACAACCAAGGTATGTGCTCTTGACCAAAATCGAACCCATGACCCTTCGGTCCGCAGGCCGACGCTCTATGCATTGAAGGACGCCGGCCGGTGTCATTACTGTTTGCATGGTCATTTCATCCGGGAGGTGTGGGAGAGACCATTTCCGGGGGACGGGAGAGGGTAACCCGGGACCCTTTGGTCCGCAGGCTGACTCTCTATGCACTGAGCCATGCTATCCGGTGTCATTGCTGTTTGCACGGTCATTTCATCAGGTGGTGTGGGAGAGACCATTTCCGGGGGATGGGAGAGGGAGTGGTTAGGACACCGGCTGCTGTCAAGCAGACCTTGAGGCCTCCATGGTCTGAGTGCAGCCCGCCCAGGAAGTGGGTAGGGAGGCTGCCTGATGAGACACAGAGAAAGCCTGGTGGTCAGTGGGGATTGGATGCTGCCCTGTGTTCCGCACCCGGCAACAGAACCCTGCTGGCCAGGACAACGGGGGTGGAATGTGGCCGTGGCCTGGAGGCTGAGGAGAGGGCTTGGAGTCGTGTGCCAGGCCCTCCTGTGGCTTGGCCCGTGTGGCTGGTCCCGCAGAGCCAGGAGCCGGCCGGAGGGCGCCCAGAGGAGCCGGAGGACGCCCAGAGGAGCCGCGTGTGTGTCGGCAGCGCTGCCTGACCTGTTAGTCGCCGTTCCTAGACGCTCACTCCCTCAGAGATTATCCCTGGTCAGTGGGGCCCAGCCTGTTGGTTTATTTTGTGGGGGGAAAGTGGGAATAACTCAACAAATATCATGTCACTGTCAGGATTGCCCAATGAGGAACACACAAGGCCCAAAGGGGTGAGGGATCATGAATGTGTTGGGTCACCTGGAGACCACATGGGCTGAGCCCCAAATGGCACCATCCCTAGCGACAGGCAGTCAGAGGGTTAAAGGACTCTAGGCTTTAAAGGGTCCATGTCCTGGGAAGGTCCAGACGAGAAAGATAATGGTCTTACCAGTGGGATGTGGTCTTACCAGTGGGATGTGGTCTTACCAGTGGGATGTGGTCTAAGCGGGAGGGAAGGCCTGTTGTGAAGTGTCCTAAAGGGCAGCTCCCAGGGGACAGGTATCAATCCAATGATTTGATGAGACTGAACAGTCACCTTTTTTAAGCGTACAGTGCGGTGTCACTAGGCACCTTCACAATGTTGTGCTACCATCACCACCATCATCTCCAGAACTTTTTCACCTCCCCAAACGGAAACTCTGGGCCATTGACCACTACATCCCCTCTGCTCCCCAGCCCCTGGCTCCCACAGTGGCTTTCTGTCACTGTGTGTGGCTGCTCTAGGGCCACATAGAGGTGAAATGAT